AGTTCTATTGCAGGAATAAGAGGGCTACCCACAAAGGACAAAGAGCTTGAGCGAACTTCAAAGAAGACGAGCACGATTTGATCATACTGAAGTATAAACAGAAGAAGCATCGTAGAAAAGATATAAAAAAATGCAAGAAGAGCGGGCTAATTCCTTTCAGTAACCCTGAAGTGTTCATTGGGACCAACACAAGTGACGTGGACACCTTATCGGCAAAATATCGACACCCCCACATTCTTAGGCTGTTTTAAATCGATTGATTCTTTTTCATTATTTATTTGTTTTTATTTACTTAAAACTACTTATCTACATGTAGTGAGACTAATGATACTCACGTAAAATATGCTGAGCAGTCTGGCTTATAATATTGTAAGCAGTGTCGATATCGTTTTCGGAGGCATTCTCGGCACAAACGCAAAATCGGATCACGAAACGATCGTTCAGTGAGGCTGGCACCTGTTTTAAGGAACTCAAATAAAGAGTTGGCAGATTTTTATCCACGAACAAGCCTTATTCCTAGTCAAAAACACCTAAATAGACCTAAATTGCTTTAAATTTATTCGTTTATAACTTAATGTTAAATCCAATTTTATTCATTCATTTATTTTATTAACTAAATTGACCTGCAAACATGTATGATTTAGCTTTTCTTCATCGAAAGTGCAACTGAATTCTACATGGGATTAAAAAAACTATTGAAATTTTGAAAACTCAAAAAAAAACTAGCATTTTCCGATGTTATTGGATTTTTTTTGGATTTTGTCTATATTCACTCACCATGTGTATTCTTCCCGAACTGTTAAGTCGTGTAAGTAATTGCTGATTTCGTTCGTCGTTTCCCTGAATTTCAATGAGATTCCATACAGTCACATACAGCTTATGGTATCCTTACTTACTCTCATTCTAAAGCAGACGAGACCCATGATCACTTCACCGACAATTTCAAACACTGGATCAGCTCGTAGCAACATTTCCATTCGTTTCGCCAATCGAACATGCTGTAATTTATGCGTCAGAGAGGAAGAATCTACTGCTTTGCTCAGACTTTATGACACACTTCTTAAAAATTATTTTTTGAAATAGATCACAACGATTTTTGTAGAGCTGATAGTCTCGGCAATACCTTTGAAGTTCATTACCTCTCGTATGTAATTCTGTAGACCTTCCACACCATACGAACGGATCACAAACCACAGCTTCAACGATCGAAATCGCCTGCTCAGAGGAATTCCCCAATGACGATAGTCAATCGACTTATCTAAAAAAAAGTTTTGAACGAACTTTTGCGGGA